CTTTTTGGAGTCCACTTCCCCCAGAATTAGAGGGCTAGGTGCACACTGAATTACCATTATAATTTAACACACATCCTGCTTCTCACCACTCTCCGTACTGCTTTTGCTTTTCTCCAGCCATTTATTATCTTCTTTCCTTTACCCACTTTCCATTTCAGGGGGAGAGTGGACTCCAGCTCCTTCAATGAAATGCTTCACCTGGGGAGCCTGCTGAGAGTGAAATTGATAAAGGACAGCACCAGCCCAGGCAATTTCACTCACAGCAGGCACTTGCAGGTGAAGCACCACCATAAAATAGACCGAGGTTACTTGCCCACCACCTCCCAGTATAAGTTGCCAGCTGAGAGCTGCTTCTTTCATGATCTTTTCACTCATCTCCTGCCAGGCACCTCTCGCACTGGCCCTGGTGCGAGAGGCAGGAATCAGCCACGTAGACTAGTGTTTGCTGGCAGGGGTTGAGCCCAACTAAGTGCTACAAACTTTGAATGCTCAGCTGAAGCGTGGCCTGGCTATGGGACCACTGCAGGCCTTCCTCAGGCCACCTTCCCACTGGTGGCATCTGGGGAAGATGGCCCATGGTTCTACCTGCCTCACTGCTACAAAAGTCCCATTGAGCAGTGCCCACTGCAGCTGCCTGGCAGGACAAAGGTGACTTGTAGCTACTTCTATGGCATCTGGTACGGGTGTCAGCCTGATGCTTGGCATAAGTTAGGACAACTTATACTCCCATGGATCTGCTTCAGCACAGGCTGGATCCCAAGGGGTAGGGACACCATCACTCCCAGCATCGCTTTGCCCCAACCTTGCTTCCTCTGCTATTTTCAAACCCTGTGTATTAGAGGACACCTTTTCACCAGCTCAGCGTTTGGGTTTGTGGGGTTTTTTGTGTATTTTGTTTTTTTGGTTGTTTTTTTTAATAGGAATATTCATAGAATGCTTTGTGTTGAAAGTGACCTTAAAGACCATCTAGTTCCAATCCCCATGCCATGGGCAGGGACACCTCCCACTAGACCAGGTTTCTCAAAGCCCCATTCCTCAGAGCTTGATTGACACCAGGGCTGAAATTTATCCCTCAGATGGGTTAGCAGAAGGAATAGTCATGATAGAAGCCTGGTGATGCAGAGTAGAGAATCTGAGGTCTGCCATCTACTGTTTCTTCTATACTGGGAGTAGAGGATAAAACTTAAAAGCTCCATATTTGAAATAAATAAGGAGATTTTTTCGTAAATAATTCATAATTTATTTGTCAAGCAAAGATACACTGTGTCATACCTGAGACCAAAATGGTCTGAAATCTGAAAAAGCTTAAGCCCTTAAGGGGAACAGTCATGGTTACAGTTAGATCATGTTGATAAAGCAGGTCAAGAAGTTACAACAGATAACCTTTCTCATACTTCAGGGCATAAAATTTCAGGAACTGAAGGGATTACTCAGAAACTCCCTTTCTAAACAGCGCTTTTTATAGGAGCACGCTATGGTCCTTGTTAGAGACTTAAATTCCGGGCAGTGCTAGACATCTGGTAGAGCAATCCCTGCAGTATTTGGGCGAGCAGGGAGTGGCAGAAACATTACAACAAACACTCTCATGAGTCAAAAAATACACACAGTACCATTTACAAAATTCAAGGACTGAAATTAAGACCTAAGAAGCTCAGTGCAACCTCAATGTACCTGAAAACACAGCTCCTAATTTGGCATATAAATCCCAATTGAAATTAGTGGAAAAATATGAGTCTCAAAAGGATTTAACCACCTAAATACCTTCACAGTTCTCACCTAGATTATCAGCAGCCACATCCCAAATCACCTCTGCAGCCCTTGCCACATTGTTCCAAAAGTCTTCCAATATCTGAATGCTGTAAACGTAATTTGCTTTACAACAGCACAAAATCATCACCAGGAACTGGACTCGAGTCAAGGTCTTTGTCAATGAGTGTGGTTGATTGCATGTGTTACATGCCACTCAATGACACAGGGTGAGGAAAGAATACTTGAGAAATGTGACCACAGATTACCTGCTAATAACCAGATGTTGTCTGTGTGTGCACCTCTGTGTCCTTACTTACAGGCTAGAATAATTTTGATATAGGTTATTGCACTATTTTTATTTTTATTTTTTTTTAAAACAATCTATTGACTCAAAAATCATGAACAGTCCCTTCTTGAAGGAAAAAAAAATAATACAGATTGTTTCCCAGGCAAGAGAAAACATTGATCATGATGAATGATATTTAAGCTTGGAAACTTGGAGAAGCTTAGATATTTAAGCTTAGAGGAAAACTATTAATTACTTACCACACCGACTGCTGAACAGGTAACCAGCTCAACTGATTTGGAGCACACAGAGCTATAAAAAGGAAGCATTCCCCTTTGTTTTATACACAAATGTAATCCTCTATAAAGGTTTGTTTCTTCCCAGTCCCTATAATTGGTACTAATATGAACAGCAATTATTTCATTACACACTGAGGGCTGAACACACTAATTGGTACAGCCTGAACCAGACCCCCTCCAAACATGGGAGACGTGGCCCAGGCAGGCAGCAATCTTCCCACACTTTGTTTTGGGCTGGTTTAAAATCCATCAGGGACCTCACAGAAACCTTACCTTACCAGCTGCTGAAGAGTCAGAACTGCAGGACCTCCCAAGGCTGTCAGTGCTCAGACTGCAGCAGCTGGTGCCATGGGTCCCCTCACCCTCTTTGGAGGAATCTGGTCTGTGTTTGCTGCAAGGCACACTCGTTTCTCTGAAGGCTCTGCCCCATCTCCTAGGCAAAAGACACAGCTGAGCTGAATTTAGCCTTAAATACACAGGGATGGCTGTATAATTGTCTCAGCATTTTCTTTTTAGATGTAATTCAGTAGGGTTTGTTGTTGTGTTTTTTTTACCTGACACAGCTCTTCTTTGCCTGTATCATTATTCAGTCAGTCCCTTCTCTTGTTAATTTGGCAACTCAGGTAGCAGAATGATTGCACATTTCTAGCACCATATGAAATAGTGGGGAAAAGGACCCAGGCCTCTACATTATATCAAAGGCTTAAGGGATTTGTGTTAAAAACTAATTTGAAGCTGGTTATAAAGTCACAGGAGGTGCTGCAGCTAATTAATGGACAAAGAAAAATTAGATACATTTAAAAAAAGCTCTCCAGAACCAAACAGACTTGCGAGCCGTAAAACCAAGCAGAGATAGCAGTGGCACAACCAGATTAGTTTCTTCAAGATTCCAGACCAGTCCCAATGCTGCACTGTTTACTTAGGTAGTGAACTGGCTGCTGTTCAAGAGGATATGCTTTTTGTGGAGGCCTGTGGCTGTACTTTGGCATGAAGGAGAAGCACACCTCACATGCCACCAGGCCCTGCATAGTACTCACAGGTTGCAGCACAGGTGCTGCAATGGTCCTGAGCTGCAGGAGGCCAACACATACCCACTGTGCCTTGGGAAAGAGGGAAACACTAGGATCCCTGCTTTGGTGCCTCACAGATGCTGCTGCTGTGCATCTGTGTGGGCCAGGGGGTGCTCATGCCCTGCTTCTGCTCCCACCTGTCCCCCAGGTAACATGGTCAGTGACACACTGCTATTGCCAAGGAAGATTTGGATCCACAAGAGGGCTAGAACACTTGATATACTCGACTGCCCCTTCAGGCACAGAGACACAGTCCTGCTGCAACCCTGCTCTGCTGTCACCCCATGAGAAGGCATGCAGCTCCCTCCACTTTCAGGCTCCAAGCTCCTTAAAAGTTCTCTTCCCAACACTTGCAGAAGAACCTTATGCAAACCCCCCAGCCCAGACGTCAGCAGCCAACAGCGAGAACCACCACAATAACAGCAAAAAAACCCAACAGTTTCTGATAACAAAAGAGCGGTTGCATTTTTCAAGGAGTGACACTTACCTTCCCAGCACTTTCTGACCCCTTTATACTCTTATCTTTGTATTTTCTTACCACAAGAATTTCTCAGGAAATAACCCAGGCTCTTTTGCTTTAGCTTCTGCTGGTTCATTAATCTCTGAAACAGTAATTTTTCCAGTGTTGGGTTTGTTTTTTTGGGGGGGTTGTTGTTTTGTTGGTTTTTTTCATGGTCTTTTGCTTATCCTTGGCATTTCTTGTTATAAAACCCGTGATACTTGCTCTTCTGGTACTTAGGCCATGCCCCCTGAATTGTATGTAACCTATGGCTGTAAAACCGGCAGGGAGGGAACCTAAAAGGAAAAATTATCAAGCAAATTCTCACTGAAGTTATGGTTAAATTAGAGAAGATGGGGGTTTGCCCAGACTGAAATTGGATCTCAAGGACCATGGCCATTCCTGAGATTATAACCCATGGTTATTGGCAGCTCCAAAGGAGCTGTTACACTGAATTGATAGCACAGCCTACAAACAGGTTTTCCTCCTCAACTTTGCAAAGAAGAGAGGAGGGAGCACCCACTGAAACGCTCTTTGGGCCGCCTGGCAGAGCACGGCTTAAAACGGTTCGGAGTCGGCAGGTTGTGTAGTCAAGACGGGAGAGGAAGAGGAGGGATGTCGGAGATCACAAAGCACACGGCAGCTCCTACTCATCCTGCAGCTTCTGGAGGGTTCCCAAGGAAGATGAGGACTAAATGGGCAAAGGCTTTTAAATATTCTCTCATGCGAAGGAACGAAATGAGGACCGCAAAAGTAATTTGCCTGGAATATTAGCCTGGGAAGAGAGAGATACATCTGAACTCCCTTGTGGCAGAAAAGAAGCTGAACTTGGGTCATTTACAATCTGATTACCCTAACCATGAGTAATTTTAAATAAAAAGAGGGAACTGGGATTTCTTCTCCAACTGCACTTGTCACAGGGCTTGATCTTATAATTGTGCTCTTAGGAGAGCTCCAGGATGAGACAAGCGAGAATTAGACCTAGGAATGAGAAAGGGCAGACGAGTAACTTAAAGCTTAAATATATCAAGTGTAGGTAATGTTATCAATTAGCACGTGTTCACCTAAATCCAAGAACGGCTTATGTCATGTGGGAAATGTCTGTGAAGACACTCAAAGGCCTGAGCTCTGGACAACACGAGGCTGCCCGGGTGCTGGGGGCTCAGCCCTGCGGCTGCTCAGCGCGGTGCGGCTTGACCCGCAGGGATCTCAGCTGCCTGCGGAGCTCGGCCGGGCCCTGGGCTGTGGAGCAACAGCTGCGCCCTCTGAGCGCCGCCATGGATGGGAGGAACGAAACCGAAGGTGCTGCCCGGGTCTGGGAGACCCAGGGGAAACGCTGCGACACGTTCTCTGTCCTGGAGCTGCACAAACCCGGGCTGGGCCGGGGGCGGGGGGGGGGAGTATTAGGGATGAGGCAAAACGAGGATGTGAGCAGCGTCCTCTCTGGCACTATCAAAACAACAGACTTGTTATGCCTCCCCTTTTATCGGTTTGGTGGTTTTGTGTGTTTTGGGTTTGTGGTGGTTTGTGGGGGTTTTTTTGTTTGTTTGGGGGGGTGGGGTGTTCGGTAGATTGTGCTCCGTGATGGCAGGGAGGGGAACGGCGGGTTCTGAATCCTGATCTGGCACGGAACTGAGCGGGAGGGA